GCCATTTCAAGATCGGCTTTCTTCCGTCACCCCTTTTTTCCGAGTGCGGCTTTCTCGCCCTGCAGACTTTCATCGCCCCCTTTTTTCAGATCTTCCTTCTTGTCGTGCCGCACTTTGTCAACCCCTTTCTTTTTCCCGGGTCGGCTCACCTGCCGCGCTGCCCTTCCTCGCACCATTTTTCGAGCATCGACCATCTTTCCGAGGTGCCAGAAACCGCGCGTCGATGCCAGGTCACCTCGTTCGGCCGCCTGCGTCCAAGATCGAAGCGTCGACCCACTGGTCGTCCCCCGCCACGAGACCCCACCTCGCTAACGCGGGCTTTGTGGCGGGCCCCTGTCCGTGAGGAGTCCCGTATCGGTACGGCTTCGTGTATCGTAGTTCTGTATCCGTACGGCTTCCAATATCCGTACGGAGTCTCGTATCCGTACGGAATCCTGTATCATAGCCCAGCATTCACACAAAGTCCCGTATCTGTGCAGAGTCCTGTATCGAAGTCGTGCATCAGAGCACGCTCCCCATACCGTAGTGAATCCTGTATCGTACTGAAGCCTGTACTGAGTCCTGTAGCGGATTCGTGCATCAGAACGGAGTTCCGTACCGTGTTTGTTCAATAATTCCGCAGAGTAACGCAACGCTTGGCCTTGTCCACGGAACAACGAAAATATCAAAAATATCAAAACATCGGAAACGTCAAAATTAGCGCCTTAAAAAAAAGCGGAGCCAAAAGCTCGTAAAACGTGTACCGGTAAATTATTTTGATGCGGAAGGGTTGAATATTGTACGGTATCCTAAGGGAGTCCCTTGTCTGTATGGGGCCCCATATCCAGAGTTCCGGGTCCTTATATACTCCCCGTATTGGAGCTCCCGTGTCCCTGTGTTGGAAACCCTGCGCGCTGAGTGTCCGCGCAATGAGGAGGCACCGCAGCGCCTCCTTGTGCCGCCCACCGCCCCCGCCAGCCTTCCATGCGGGGTCGGCCGTCCCATCCCCCTCCCGTTTATCCACCAGCCGCACGGGATTTCGGACAGCATCAGGATAATCACCAGCCTTCCAATGACGATGTGCACCCAAATGTTTAGTGTTCATGTACTTAAAACGCTGAAGCAAAAGCAAAAAGCAGGCAATGGAGTCTGAACCCCAAAAAGACACAAACTGCAAAAGATGTGGTGATTCAGCACAGGAAATGGGGACCTAACGTCCTGATTGAAATCTTCTGACGTCAGCCTTGCATCTGTTAAGCCGGTGCAAACGAATTGCAGCACGGCTGGCTGGCCCCTCGGAGGTCCCTTGATGGAATGGCTATGTTGGGCAGGAAGCCTGCGGAAAAGGACTGTGGAAATACTGTTCTGTGGCTACTCTACTAATCACTTCTTTGCTCTGACAGTGCTGTATTATGCTGCAACCCAGGTATCAATGCTGCTTTTGGTATCTTGGTGACAGCCATAATAATTTTATGTGTCCAGCATAGACAGTGAAGACATATCACATAGTCTGAACCCCGTGTGCATAGATTTGCTGTACTTGATGGTCCAGACTGGTTTTGATGTCCAATTTCTTACCTTGGAGAGGTACCGATTTCTTTCTGGATAGCACTTTGATTCTGTCAACTCGATGCCTCAGAGTTTCGAAATGGAGAGGTTGGGTATAATTTGTATGTGGGCGCATCGTACTTGCAGGAGAACCATTATATCAATCGTGCTGCTGGTCAGTGATATTGACGTGTTTTTGTGTGAATGCAGGCAGCTGTGCAGGTCTTCATAGTCGCAAGTCCTCCACAGGAGCAGGTGCACTCTGATAGGATATTGTGGCTTCAGCAAAACTCATGGCATCTGTGTATTTTCATGTATTTCAATGTTGATCCATAGCACCAAAACAGTCACGCAAGTTCTTCCATCATATTTTTCTGGCCTGTCTGTGTTGTAATGTACATCTTCCCCGGCAAATTGGGCACTCCAAAGCATGTGCACATCATGGTGTAGAGAGTGATGCCACATGCAAATGTAAGAAGGGTGACCGTAAATTGTCATCACTGGTTGCCATAGGTTCGCCATCCCTTCACAAACACCTTTCCCTGGCTGAGAGGTTGCAAACCTCCAGTTGGAGGCGAGCACTGCTCAGCCTTCAGGAACTACCATAAGGATAAAAATATTGGGATGAGTGCATGGGATTTTAGGAAACCAACAATCGGGCGGCCCAAAGGGCTAGAAATCTTTTTGTGCAAATGGACAGTGAACCTAACAGGTTGTTGTGTGCACAAGACTGCATTTCTCGAGTGACAGAAAGCTCGCCACCTGCTCATTTGTGCTTTCCCAAATGATGAAAGCTTTGTAGATGCAAAATGGCTGCATCTCATTGTCTGCCAGTTTTCTGAGTTCACAGCCTTGGTGCTTCAGCATTGTGCCAGTAAAAGATGTTTCTGCTGTTCCCTATGACCCACCATTCCTATTTCCGCATCTTCCATGCTTGTAGGTGTTATTGTCATATTGCGAAAGACTTTCGAGCTGCAGTCGATACTTGCAGCAAAACACATAACCTACAGCCTGTTTGTGTATATGAGAACAGAGCTAAAACACCGCACCAAGTGGTTTTGCCCATTTGCATTGAACGAGATGTGAATGGAGCTTCACAAACAACACAGTTGGTGTTGGGCATGCTTCCATAGTTCCCATTTTTCAGCTACAGCTCCTGTCCACCTACATATTGGAGGGCTGTAGATGCACAACATATTTTTCTGCTTTGATTTCAATTCTAGGGTAGATGTAACACTGAGTTTTGCTATAAGTTGCTGTTGTAATGCTTGTTTGGCTGCCTGCGTTCGGACAGGTCGCAGCATCTCTTCATGAGCCAGTGGACCAGCACCCAAAATACAACGAAAAGATGTTGGAATTCCTGGGGGAACAACTGGCTCAGGTTGAGAGCTTGCCTCCTGAGGGAGTGACTCAAAGCTCAGTTGAGGAGTTTCAAACAACTGTCCAGAAAGGAGAAAGGCTTATTGCCATGCACAAGGGCCCCTTCAGCTTGAGGACTTTCTACATGAGCACAGATGTCAAGGACTGTGTGTCCGATATAAGTGACATATTGTGTGACATTGTCAAAGAATGGCAGAGAGACGACACAGTGGCGGTCAAGAAGGAGGTGCCAGCAGAGCATTTTGAGACAGACAAGGAGGCCAGCTCCAAAATGCTGAAGTATATCATCAGTGGTGATGTGCCAAGCGGGGAGGTGCTGCCTCAGCATTGGAAGGGGATGAAGCGTGAACATGAGGAGTAGATGAGACAGCTAGAAGTCATCAAACGTGCTGAAGTTCAGGTAGGTGTACAGATTGGCAATGGGGCATGTAGCATTGTGCATAAAGGTTCCTGGAAGAACAAGCCCGTGGCTGTGAAGAAATGCCGCCAGAGTAACATGCCTGGATCGGACATGGGAGTCACGGTGCTGTTCTGGAAAGATGTGCTCACGCATCTGTCCCTAAGCTCATTTCATGTGGCCAGCCTGCACGCCATCACGGAATCACGGTGGCTGGTTATGGATCTTGCTGATGAAGACTTGCAGATGGCATCCTAGGAAACCAGGGAACTTGGCTGGCCTGTGAGGCTCAATCTCCTGCAGCAAGCTGCAGAGGCCTTGAGGCACATGCACAGGCAAGACCCCCCTTTGATGCACGGTGACGTGAAAACATCCAATTTCCTTGTCTTCCAGTACCCTTCAGAGAACTACAGTGTGAAGATTGCCGATTTTGGGATGACGTGCGAAATAACGGACGCAAGGAGCAAGACTGCACGAAAGGGAGGTAGGACAGTCAAGTATCTGGCTCCTGAAATTTACAGCAACCATGTTCTTTCTCTTCCATCGGATATTTACAGCCTGGGAGTGGTGATGTACGAGGTCGTCACTGGAAGGGAGTTGTATCCAGCCAAAGATGGCAGCCGCCAGAGCACTGACAAGTACATCATGAAACAGAAGCTCGATGGGAAGGAACCATGTGAGGTGAAAATGAAGGATTGCCCTGCATCCATGCAGGAATTGATGCGTGCCTGCATTCACCTGGACCCCAATGAGAGACCAAAAATAGGGGAAGTGTGTGAGTGGCTGTGGAACATACCATATCACTGGAGCAACGAGGTATGTGTGCAAGGGTGTGAAAGTAATGCTGGCATTGTAGAGTGGCAGCAAACTGTCTACTTTTGGTCTTTCCATGGACTGTTGTTGCCGCCTGTAGAATTTTGCTTTCTGGCTGTTGCCAAGGCCCCAGCCATGTGTGACCAGAAGACCACAGCACCCATGTGTCCCACTACAGTGATGACATGACAGAAATTGTGTGAAGTACTGGCAGTGGAATACTGACTGCTCCCCATTAATCGTCAAGTCGTTGTTGTGTTTGTTCACTCTGTGCATTTTCAAGGCCCAAACTGGTGTTGAGATTCTTACGCACCCAATGCGTATGTTGTTGTATTTCCACAACCTGGCTATTTCACCTTGCTGCTGTACTGGACTATATTCCTTGCTTGTGTGATGCTGTGGTGATGCAGGGAGTCCCTGTGGCCGAACTGCACAGACTAATCGACGATGTCGGCGAGCTGCTGCCCAGCGTGAGGTACAACAAGAGAATCCTCCGTCTCCTTCAGTCTCAGATGAAGAGCATGAAGGGACTCCAAGACGTGCCCCTGGAAAAGTCAAGAGTGGCCTGGAGCGACTTAAAGGCAGGGCTGGAATCGGGTAAGGCGCTGATCGAGGAACACATCCGGGCATTTGACATCTGCAATTTCTACACTGTTGACGAACTGAAGCTCCTGGTCGAGGACCTGTGCAACCAGCTTCACGATGCGACAGGAACGCTGGATGCACAGGATGGGATAAACATCGACAGCTTTGTGCCTGAATGGGACATCCTCCGTGATAGGGAAGACCTTGAGGCCTGTCTACGATTTGTTGTTCTGGGAGAACAATTCGCTAGTGTTGAGCATGGGTGGATCGACGTGAAGACAGGGCACGAGACAGGGATGCTAGATGTGGGGGCCCTTCGAGAGGATGATATCCTGCCTGCCTTGCGAGGAGCAAAACGCATTGCCACTGGGAATAGGAGCTATTTGTATGAGGTGGAGTGGCGAGGCAGCATGGTCGCTGTGAAGCAACTGAAAGGCGATGCTGTCGAAGATCTGGTGCGGCTGTCAATCGAAGCCACATTTGGTGCTTTTCCGGACAATAAGCACATCATCAAAGTGCATGCCCTGTGTATGCCAGGCAGGCTGCTGGCGATGGAGCTGGCCTCAGGGAACTTGAAGGATTGGTACAAGACTCACCCAAGGGTATCGTGGGAGACTAAGATTGTGATGCTGCACCAGGCATCGTTGAATTTGGCCCATCTGCATGGCAGGGATGAGCGGCCCATCCACCGCGACGTAAGGACCAGCAACTTCCTTGTGTGTGGCGGACCCCAACAAGAGTTGCCACTGGTCAAGCTCGGTGGCCTTGGCACTGCCACTCCTCAAAACACTGGAGTGAAGATCGCTGTGAAAATGCAGCCGGAGGCAATACTCTATTGCGCACCAGAGATCCACCGATGGGAGCCGCACAGCCAGTCGAGTGACGTATTTAGTTTTGGTGTGGTGATGTGTGAGTTGGCGGCCCAGCGGACACCGACTTGGGGAGTGAAGGGCGGCAATTCTGTCTCTGCAGAGAGGAAGGAGAGCGGGGAGCTGCCTTGCCGGCTACCCACAGACTGCCCGCAGCCTCTGAGGGATCTCATCAATCTGTGTCTATCAGCCAAGCCCTCAAGACAGCCCTCCATGAAAGATGTCGAGGGCAGGTTGGCAATATGTTGTGAGTCGCTGTGCAAACCTGGTACAGAAAATTAGTGCCTGGGTTGTGGATGAAAGTCAGCATTGGCACGATGATGTGGCTGTGTATGTGGACATAGTTTGTGCTTAATCACCTCATCGAGCGATGTCTTTCACACGAACTGGGGACCAACCCATCAATTCGGGATGTAAAGAAGAGCTAGGTGTTGGTGCAGGATTTGGACCGTGCTTGCTGTTCATTGTCACATTGGGGCGGATTGTAGACTTTTTCTGTTGTTTGGGGTGATTTTTCATGGTGCTTTGGTACGTAGTATTTTCTGTCGTTGTGTCATGGTCACCATGGGCGTCGTAGGTATCCGTATGAAGACGGCGCAATCATTGAAGTTGTTGCATTTGTTGAACTGTCCTGGCCAGCAAAACTGATTAGAGATTCAGGCAGGCCTTACCGCTACAAACGCGTTTTGTTTGTTTGAGCATTGGTGACTGGAAAATATGGGACAAAAGATTGCCCTTGATAGTAGTCCACCAGCGTGGACCTTAAGGCGTTTTGGCCACACTCAACGTTGAACAAGCGCCAGGGAGACCTGTTTCAGCAAGCCTCTATTCATGATGTCTTGTTTGAATGTGGGTGGATTGGAAACCTGGCCGTGCGACACCAACTGGGTGAAGTCCTTTCGGTTCGGCCTCAGTACTTAAGCCCAAACAGCGGGTCACCGCAACATCGGCCCCAAGAGATGCCGTTTGGCCGTTCCCGCCAAAATTTGTCCGTCCATCCCCGTTGCAATTTCTGGCCCCTCAGCGCGCCCCTCCTCGTCAACCTCTCGGCCCTCTTGTTGACAGCCCGCGCAATGACGCTAAAGGGCCCAGGGCTGCCCGCTCCCCTTAGGCGCGGCCCGCGCTCTGGACTGCAGGAACTGACCCAGGAGACGGTATAACGGAACTGACCCAGTGGAATGGACTGATGGCACTAGCCAGCATCGCGCATTGATGGAACTGACCCAGCGGGACGGAAAGAGCTGACACGTGGTGCGAACGGACGGGACGTCCGCCCTTCCCATGGCCGGGCTCGACACGCTAGCCACCGGTTTGTGGTGGGTAGGGTGCAGAAAATAGGCTGCGGAAAGCGCGGACTGGCATCTCGTTGCCGGTTTTCTGCAGGTTGGGTTTGTTGCCCTGCGGCAATTTGCGGTCGGCATTTCGAGGCCGAGCTTATTTTGCCCAGACTTACACGGGTAGCGAAAAATGACGCGATAGCCAACACAACGGCGGCCCAAAAATTGGTCGGCGAATGACGCTGCGACGGCTTGTCGCCCGGCTCGATGCCGCCACCAGAGGGCGAGGCGTCAATCTCCAGCCTCGGAGTCTCGCGACGCTCTCCGCTGTTCACGAAAAGCCGCCAGGCCGTCCTGACTCGCGGGCGCTCTCCGCTTAGGGTGGCGGTCGGACAAGATGACGGAACGGGCGGTGGTGACACACCAGGTTGTCCGATTGCCGGCGCAGAAAGGCGAAGCGACTGCACGCTTCCTCGCGCACGAAGGCAGCCCTGGGGAGCCGGCCACTGTTCAGCTGTCGGAACGATCAGCCCAACACCAGCACCCCCCGCCTGCCCGCACCCCTCTTCCCGCCTTTTCGCCGACTGGAGGGAAATTTGGCATGCTTGATTCTGGCATGACGAGGTCAAAATTTTGCAGCATTCATTGCCATGTTCCGCAACACAATTGGTGCGAGTCTCCAGTCCGATTCGCACCAGCGCCACGGCCAGCGGTTCGTTTGGTCGGGGCGGGCGGGTGGGTGTTGCCAGCGGAGCGCGTCCTGACCCACGGAGCCAATCGGTCCCACTCTAGAGACCCATTTCGAAGCACCCTCGCTGAGGTGGGCGACAAGCACCACACTTGGAGAACGGCACAGCCGTCGTTTGTGTGCTGAAGTCCTCCGCGATGTAGTGGTGGAGCGCAGGAGACTATCCTGGTCAGTTCAATCGAAATATTCTGATCTTGCGTTCGGGCAATCGTTCCGCGCTGTCGGAATTTGAAAAGATGGCAGTTGACCTGTCGCCGTTCTGTCCATGCCGCTGATTTGTTGGGCTTTTCGTTGCTCTCGTGCCGCGAAGTCGGAAAACAGAAATAGAAGCACGAAAAAGGAGCACAGAGAAACGCATCGCCGGTTTTGACTTGGAATGGGGTTGTCCTCAAGGAATGGATGGATGCGTTTCTGTTTCTGTAGCAGCCCAGTGCCCTCGCGACCTGCGCACTGTGAGCTCCACTTGGTGAGACAAGGAAACGAAACACATTGGGGGAACACTGTATCCGACATTGCCCGATAGTGGAAAGACCAGTGCTGTGTCGTGTTTGACGGCTGTGGTCAACGACGATTGTGTTGACTGCGGGCCTTTCTGTGTTTTACCAGGCTGTGAGCACCTGAACATTTGCAGGCACGGGTGGGCCTCTGCTTGTGGCCTATCTCAAGGGAATGCCTTGCACAAGCAAGCCACTTTATAGAATTGTGGACTGAAGGTGGGTTTCTGGAATGGTCTCTGTCCCCAAACTGCCTTACAAATGTTGGACCCCTATTTTGTAGCACACCAAATAGGCCCAAATTTGACAGTGGGTGCAAATGTTGGTGCCAAGCTGCACTGGTTTTGCCTTTTTGAGCAACTTCGACCGTTGAGACTGGTGGCAACACAACCCTGCTGGCATGCTAGATGGGTGCATGCTGTGCAGTCGATCGGTGATACTGCACAGTCTCCTTGCTCTTGACCACCTTCCATGTTTCAGTCCTGTTTTCAGCGCTCAGCCCCCTTTTGGACATTTGTTAGTTTACTTCAGATCACTGACTACATCGTGGCTTGGGCCATCAAGGCCCAAGCAGCATTCTTGCCATAGGAGCCATCACCCATGTGCACTGTCAATCGCACTTTGCTGGCCACTTGACAATTGGTTCAACCACCCGCACGGCTACATTGTCCAGAATATGGCAAAGCAAACACCATAAAATCTGTAAAAGTGCTTGCCTATTGTAGTGACAAATACCTAAATAAGAACTGTGCAGGTACAACAGGTACTGGTACCATTCCACTGGTGATGTGGTTGTGAGCACCCAACTGATGAAGTCTGACGTCACAGCTCTTCAATTGCCATTGGTTCTCGGGAGCTTCTGCATGGCCCTTGTGCATGCAAAATGTCAAATTGTCCAAAATGTCAAGCTGTGAAACACTGCACAGCATCCATGGCAGCACAGCGTGGCCTCAAAGTTATGCCCCCAAACTCCCTTTATTTCAGACCCCCCATCCTCCCGTTGTTGTTGTCATTGATCAGCGGGCCCCTGCTGCCCTGTGCCTCGAAAACTGCTGGTGGATTTATCAAGGGGTGTGGCGGTCCAGAAAATGCCCACCAGTTCGTCCACCCCTTCCAGAACTCTGTGCACACCGGTCCCCTTTGAGGCCTGCTATTGGAAGGGCAATGTCCTCAAGGGACTGACAGAGGGGATAGTACCACCGATCCTGTGCATCTCGTGCAGTAGTGAATGATTCCAATGCACAATGCCTGTGAGGTGGAAGGCTACTGCTCTAATATGACTGCAACCAGTATCGCTTTCCACCGATTGAACCCGATGCTGCAATGCCAGGACAGTGGCGACTATCTCGAACTTGTCTCAAAAGTGGCCAGCAGATTTGCACTGAGGCGCGACTCCAAAGATTTTGCTTGCTGGAGGAAGGGGCTCTCTGCCACCGCAGAGTGAAGGGGTGCGATCGGGACACACCAAACCATGGGAAATGTGGGTTGGACGGGTCCTGGTAGTTGGTTTCTTGGAATGCACAACTGGGGGCATCTGCCACCTGGAATCCTGCTGCACAGTTATTGGCTACACTTGCTGTTTCATGCCTTCAGTTGTCTTGGGTCTTTCGAACTCTTTTCATCAGATCTCCACCATCAGGCTATATGGTTGCCCAGTGCGTATTTGATGTGTGCAAGACTGCAGATCTTGGTTTCCATTGTCAGTTTCGGCCTTTCCGACTCTTGGCTTCCATGTCCAAAATGTTTTGACTTTGGGCAGCATCTGCAGTCAAACAGCCTTCGTGATCACCAGTGGCGAAGTTGCTGTTGTTGGCCTCTGCTGCTATCAGCGCCATCGTTTTGTGTGTTGTCTACATTGTATTCCCCCTAAGGTGATGTTGGTGCATATCATCATTTGTGTTTTGGCTGGAAAGAGGGCCAACCGCTTCTCTTTCCCGAATGGCGTTTGCTGAGCGGTTGTGATGTTAGTGGATTCCAACTGTTAGGGGACCTGAGAGCCCAGCATAGGGCCTGATGACATTCAAACGGTATTGGAGCAGGAATGTGCTTTTTGATATCTTGATATTCTTTTTCTCCCATGGCCAACTCCCGCACAGTGCCCATCCTTCACGAGAGTTGGATTGAGCAAGTGCCAAATGCCACAGTGCTGTGTTTGCACCCCAAATTTTGTTGCTATTCAAACCTGAGCTGTGGAGCTCCCACTCAGCTGATTGAGCTGTAGGCAGCTAAATTGACAGTGAATGATTGCATTCTTGTTTCTATCAAGCAGACATCTGCCATTGCATTGTGGGCTTGCAGCAAGGCCAACAGAATGCCATGGAGGGGGGAAGCACCTTCAACGGCACTGCTGCTGGTGATAGTGCTGCTGGCATGTGAGGCGGGGAACTCTGGGGAGACAGTTGAACACAGAGATGCGAATATTCAGCCAGTACTGGTCAACCAGCCAAGGCGGATACCACTGGCAGTGTATTTTTGACAACTGATTTTTGCAGTTCATTTCACCAACAGTTCTTTGACTTGTTAGTACGTGTGTGAGCAGTTCCTGTGCACCATGTCCTGCCTAAGATAGTACCCCTCAGCAAGGTGAATATGCTCAGTGCTGCATGGCACATTGTAGCGCTTCAACTCATACTGCTTTGTCTACGGGGGGGTGACATATGATGCCTGCCTCTATTCGGCTATGTCAGGTTGGTTTCAGGACACAGGTGCATGAAAGCTACCAGTCACCTGATTTGTAACCATCCTTATGGAGGCAGTGGCAATGAGGAGCTTTGCTGTATTTGAGCAAGGCGCCACCAGAGCAGCAAACAAGAAATTTCTGCTCAACTCACATTCAGAAATTCCTACTTTGGATGTTGCATCAATTTGTGATTTGCTTGTGGAGAAAAGCCATCTGTTTGTTTCCAAATCAACTGATTTTGTGCCAGACTCAGATGGAGGAAGTGCGCCATAGTTCAAAATCAGATTCGAAGGTTGTTCTTGGCACAGTGCCCTGTTCTACTTTCCAGTCACAGCAGCACCCTCAACTCAAAGTGCAACTGCTGTGACAAGTAACAAGATGTAATTGGCATTGATTCATGCTTGGCGCATTGTTTGCAAACATAAGAATTGTGTGCTTGTCTAAAGACTGTGTGAATGCCTGATCGGGTGGTTTTGCAGGCAGTCACTCCTCAGATGCGTCGATCCCGATTGAGCCCAGATGTGATGATTTTGATGTAAGAACGTTTCTGTAAGGAATAGCGTGAACGCAATGTTGTTGCACTCAATGTCGATTTGTAGCCCTGTTTCTGCCCTCCTTTCTTGGTGTCATTTGTTAGTGCAACACTGTGATCTGGGATCAGATGGATTCAAGTCGAAATCTGACCTGGCATCCTGTCCCCAATACAACTCGCAAGTAGTCGGATGTGGCGACCCAGGCCAAGGGAAAACACCAGTTGATAATGTGACAGGTGTGCCTGCATTGGCTGTGGCGATGCCAGAATATGAGTTTCCTCCTTTGCTCATGTGGATTCCAGCAGCAAATTGAACTTTTTGGAGTTTGTTTGAATAAAACAGTGTTGGCTCATAGAATGTGCAATCAGGCGGTGTCGGCATTTGTGTGAAAGCTTTGATGGTGGGCACCTCCAAAATCCCATGAGATAACTTTACCCAAGGATTCATCGTTAGGTGCCCAGTACAGTCTTGTGACTTCAATGCGCTTCAGTGGACAGTAACTGGATGACACAAAGCTATGCACTCCCTCAGTCTCAAAATACTGTCACTTCCCTAATTTGAGCGAACGAAGGTCAAAACATGCGAGTAAGAAAATGTGACCAGAACAACTTTGACGCGTCTCATTGAGAACTATTTGCAGAGCCCTCAAACGTAGCAAATGGTGGTGCCGATCTTGAGATACGTGAGGAGGAGCTGAAATGCTATTTCGCTTTTTGTCGAGACCTTGGGTGGAGCATGGTAACCTCGTCATGCCCTTCAAAGGTGGTGGATCGAGCTGAGTTGTCTCTAGGAAAGATGATTGACCTGGTGGTTTGGCATACACTGAAGATTTGACAAAATTCAAAGCAGAATCAGCAGAGCAAACGATGCAGGGTGGGTGTCAGCAAGGATTGTGGGTATGCTGTGGCCAAGTGCCAGGAGACACCTAGATTGGTGCAAGAGCTTGACCTAGCTGACCCACCAAGATTAGGAAGGCCGTGCACACTGACACTAACTCCAAGATGGCCTAGGTTTGCACCAATATGGCCAATCTATGACATTGAGAATTTCGAAGACATGATTCAGCATAGCAGAAGAGATGGTTCACAAATAATATGATTGCAGTGATGCCAAACTCTTGAAAGATTATGGCAAAACTTATTTAGTTTCTACAACAAGATTTTGAATAATACAAGGGAACTTGGGTGGCATACATGCGTATAACGTGAGCACAAAACTATGGGGAAGTGAGACCCTAATGGAGATGGGCAGGAACGTTTTTGGTGGGGTTGTGAATTTCTTGTTGTATGGCGATGACTAATATAATCAAGATCCACAACGACCCAAAATCCACTAAAGAATCAGAATTTGCTGGCACATGGACTAATTGAGTTGATCCTACAAAGTTATGACAAAATTAGGGAAGTGACAATACTTTTGAGATGGAGGTAGTATTATGCTCTTTAACAATGTTGTTGCTTCTCATAGTCATTATGGATTGCACAGCTCTGAGTCTGTTCCGCATGAAGTGACTACTCTAGTATATTCAATCCTTCCACATCGTTCCATCACGACCATTATGCTCTCGCTCCGTATTTTCGCCCTGGACTGTTATTTTTCCTTTTGCTTTGCATCATGTCATGTGGGCTCGGGGTGGGTATGGTAGCCGTATGCCAAGTTTCAGGTGCAACAGATGAGTCCGCAACCTCTTATGTGTGTGCGCCATGCGCCCCCTAGGCAGCCGTTGGTCAATGTGCATGCGCCTGCTGAACGCCCCCCCTCCCACACGCGCCAATGCGTATTGGCACCTTCTGTGTCAGCGGCCCCTTCCTGACCACCCAGATGGCAAGCGGCTGGTGCCTGCCTACCCATCGATCGCCTTGGGGCCTGCTGGGTGGCGGGTAGCATAGAGAGTGTGGCGCAAGGCGTGTGGGCCTCCTACGTGGGACTCTGCTCTGTTCACATGGCCTCAAAATACTGCCCCAACGACTCGTGCATATGGGGCCGCCAGATGCCACGGAGTTCTAGACACCCTCGCATCGTGGCTTGGGCCAGTTTAGCTGCAGCTGGGTTCATTTCTAGGTGGCTTTCGTGTGCAGCATGGGCACCCAACATCATCGTGGGTTATGGGGAATCCAGCTTGTCCAAAAACCGCGCCCAGAGCGTTACTGAATCAGCTGCTCCACATTTGCCTCTTGGCACCATTACGTTTTATTCACCAACTCCACGCAAAAGGGTCCAGCGTTACATTACTATACAGAAGGGTCGAATATACCAGAGTATTGTGTCACAGAATCACATTTTCCTGATGCCCTCATTTTTCATGTACTAGGGCTGGGAACCAGCTCCCCACGTGGAGAGTGATTTTGTGAGCATTTTAAAACATGGCAAGCATATGTGTGGGGGCTACCTTCTTCGTTCATTCGATTCACCCTTCTTTGTGGTGACATCAGCACATTGCGCTGATGTTGCTGGCCGACATTCGTCAGTGAAAATCCATGACAGTGAGGAAGGACAGGTGTGAGGCTTTTGCTGTGGTGCTCAGCTTGATCCCTTGTTGTGTTGTGAGTGCCTCCAGAGCTCTCTCAAATTACATTTCGTGTTTTGTAGTGTTGTTGCTGCCTATCTTGCTTCGCCTGGTGCCTAGATGTGGCCGTCATGTTGATGTCGTCACACTGCCGAAACACATAAACTAATCTGTGTTGTTGTCCCTTTTCAGGTTGTGAGGGTCGTGAAGACGTACATCCACCCAAACTGGACTCTCCCTGGCGACTTTCATTTCGATGTCGCTCTTATGCTGCTTCCAAATATGAAATATAATCAGTTGGGATATTTTTATCCAATCCAGGGGTTTCCTCACGATCATTTCAGAGTGCTAGCGGTGCTCAGGCTTTCCCACCAAATCGAACAGGCTCTTCTTTGTCCTTCCTGCACCCATCACTGCCGTGATTTGGGAATGCAATGTTCCTCATTTGGTACGCTGGGGGACCCTGCTCAGCTGAGAGGTGCGTTAACACTTTTGCCAATTCTGTTTGATTTCATTGTGAAATGAAAGATTGAAATGACTGAGTGGATCATGGACAGAGCATTAGCAAGGCCATCCTTTGCAAGTTCCAAATGCATGGAGAATGATGGTATCCATTGTGCTTACAACCTTGGTCTTTACACCTAAACTGCTATTTGTGCCAATTGAAGGGCCATGAAAGGTACAGTTACAAGTTTTCATACTGCTTTTTTTCCCTGTGTGGGTTGCTGGACGGGATAGGATGTTGGAGGGAAGGTCATACCATATTCCCTCTTTTGTTTCACACTACCACTTGTGATGGTTGCTTTTTCTTTGTCCTTCCATATTGTTCATAGATTCAGGCATGATATTGTGTTGTTGAAACGTTTACACACTGAAACACAGCATTCACATGCAGTGAGTTAGCATGAATTGCTGCTGAGAAGAGGGCCTGTCTGGGGGCCTGGTGTTCACTCGAATTCAAGTGGATTAAGGCCGTTTCAGGTGATAATCTGGGTAAGACATGGTTTGTTTTGCTGGTGCGTGCTTCCTTTGACTCTTTGCAACTGCTGCCCCCAGACCCCTGGATCAGCTTTGTTTTGTCTGATGATGCCACACATGTGCTGCAGATGTTGTTGGTGGGCCAGTACTGTCATACATTGACAGACGATCTGGTTATCCTCTTCTATTATATCTCCAACTTCTTGGCATCGTGTCCAACATCAGCTCAACTGAAGATGGAAGCAGTCTGGTGAAATGGCAGAGCTTAAGGGAGATCAAGCCGTGGATAGAGGACGTTTTATCTCAGGTTCAGAATGTTGCAAACCAGTGTTGCACCGCTTTCTCATATGACACAGTGGCGAAGTACTCTTCAAGGTAGTGTTGTGCATTGTTGCATAATGCAGTACAGTACAGAACAGTCCAGCACTGTACAGTGCTGTGCTGCATGGCACATTATGGTCCAGTGTGCGCACAGTACAATGTGGTATGGTACAGTACAGTAAAGCGCAGTACTTGTCAGGTCAGATCAATGCAGTATGTAGCATTGTTTTGCAGTCCACTGCAGCATGTTTTGGTACGATGCAGGACAGTACAGTCATGGTACCTACCATCGACATGGGCTGAACAGGCAATTGTGCAGATACAATTCCCACACACGATCTAATGGCTATTTTGCACAGTGACACACTGCCATTTGTCACAAACTGAGGTCTTACGCATCAGTGTACAGGCCACTTTAGATCCCTTGTCCAGCAATGCAGAGCACTTGCAGAACGGAGACAAAGCAGTCAATGTTATTTTTCTGGAATCGTTTGCCCTCTGGACATATTCCTGCTTCAGTTTCAACAAATCCTTAGCAGCCTCGCAACATAGCATTTCCATTTCCAAGGGCTATCAGTTTCCACACACGCATGCACTGTTACCTCCGGTGAAGATTGTGGATGCTTACTCTACGTTGTGCTGGCTTCATAATTTATTGTTTATGGTGGCATTTTTGTAGAGCCAAATATCATACTTGTTTTCATCCATCTTTCACCCTTGTTGGCTGGCCAGAACAGAAGATGCCGTGCTTGTAGTTTTGCAACACAGCAAGTGACACCTGGTGTTGTGTTCTGTTTCATCTGAAATTTTTCGTTTTGCAGCATTTCAGCCTCTCGTGCAGCATCTGTTTTTTTCCCCAGCGATTACAATACGGTCCTGCTTTAATTGTGCTTCTTGACAACTCATATTCTGTTGGCCATCTAGGCCGAGGACAACACCACGAACACCACGGTACAGATCAGCTCAATTGTTTTCAGCACCATTGTAGGCGCATTGGGGATGCTCATCGTTGTAAAGCGGGTATGCCAACTGCTCCAGAATTTAGAAGGGATTCTGATTGTACTGAAGTTGGCGAACTGACAAGAAGTACTGCTTTTCACTCTATCTTTGTTTGAGCTGTCAACATTACTTCTGCAGCAAAACGTTTTGTCAATTAACACTTTTGCTCTTAGAAACACTTTTCATGGCGAAGTCATCTAGGGAGCCCCTCTCCACTGGCAAAATGTTGCCCTTGGCCAGTCTCTCAGTACCACGGATGTAGTTTGTTATTCGATTTGGAGTCGATGTACTTGTTATTGTTGTTATGATCTGCTGCCTCTTGTAATGACCATTACAGACTGTGTCCCTTGGCAGTAAACATTGCATGCAGCAGATGGCACTGTCGATGTGACCATCACGTTGACAGCAACCGCTCCGACCTGTCATATCTTGCAGTGTTGAATGGAACACTGCTGCGATGGGAAGTGTCTGCATGACTCTCTGGGGATACTGTTCCAAATATCGGACAATATTTTATCTTTTGACATTTATATCATTCAAAGTTGCTTATTTCTCAGCAGTGTCCAACAGACTGTCGCTTTGTTGTTTCAGTTGCTGTACAGATAAAGTGCTTTGCTGTGCCGGAGGGTTCTGTGAAGTGTGGTACATTTTCTGGTGTTTTGTGCAGGGTTCCCCATGTCCCGTTTTCTGGGTAGCATTCCTTGATTTTGTTTCCTGTACACTACTATAAGAAGCATGCTGTTCTTGACACATAGCACATGCTCTTCTATTCTTCCCTTCCCTGTGAAGTCATCAAATTTCGTTTCTTGTGCACAGTGGTCTGTATTTGCAAGGCCTGCGCCAGAACAGGTGAGCAAGACAGGATGATGTGCTGGCAATGGGCAGCAGAAATGCAGAATCTGTTGGTCTTCATAGTGCTCTGTTCAATTTTCACATTAATATCTTCTAGCACAGTCAAACTTAACTGTGTACTTACTGCCCTAGAGCTGCCATTTGTTGTTGTTCTCGATGCCACCAACAAAAGGATGAGCGCTGCGCACCAGTTCGAAATCAATTCAAGAAAATGTGTGTGATCAACCCTGATGTTGTTGTGCTTGCTGCTTTCGCCCCTCACCTGTTCATGTTCACACATAAGCATGGCTGCACAAGGCATACAGGATTCTCCACACCAAGGGCTCCACCCAGCTGGGGTGGTGTATGGAAACTGTAGCAAGTTGGCACTTGACCTTATGTGCATGCATTCGTTTCTTGCACTAGTGTTCCAGATCACCCTAGCCCAGTCATTGTTATGTTGGCATTGTTGCAGGCAGCAGCCTGCATGAGGGGCCGCTTTCTCTTCTCTCAGTTTAACTGTTGTGTACTGTTACTGCAGCTCAGTTGGCATGAAACGGAAAGGGGGCCAGCTTGCAGTTTTGATGTGAACATTGTTATATCTGTTCCACAGGCTGCAGCTCTGCACCCTGAGTCGCAGTGCCCCAAGTACAACCAGGAGATGCTGGGATTTCTGGCCAAGCAGCTAGCAAAAGTGAGCAACTTGAAGCCACCCAAAGGGGCAACCAAAAGCTCTGTAAAGGACCTCAAGCATGCCCAGCAGGATGGGGACAGGCTCCTTCGCAAGCATAAGGGGCCTTTTGATCTCAAGGCCTACTACACCTGTCATGAGGTAAAGGAGTTAGTGAACAAGATTTGTGAGACACTGTGGGAAGTTGTGCAAGACTGGCAAAAGGGTGATGCCATCAATATACAGAGAAACATGCCAGAACCGTGCTTTGAGGAGGACAGGAAGCATTTGCACAAACTGCTGGGGTACATCCTCAACATGCGCCAGAAAGAGACAGCCAAGGATGTGCTTATGGAGTGGAGGAAAATGAAGCAGGAGTACAACGATCAGATGAAAGACCTGAAAATGATTGACGAACACGAGGTCAAGGTGGTGGCAGAGAGGGGAAGGGGCTCTGGCAGCATTGTCTATGAGGGCTTGTTAGGTAGTGTGCCAGTTGCTGTGAAGAAGTGCAGGATCCCCGATTCGATCGAACAGGACATTGAGCGCTTGGCAGAGTTCATGAAAGATGTTTTAGTGCACCTGTCCGTCAAGTCTTTTCATGTTGCTGAATTGTATGCAATGACCAAAACGTCTTGTTGGTTGGTGATGGAGCTTGCTGACAAGGACTTGAGGGTCTTCTGCCAAGAGAGGAAGCCAATGGGCTGGCCCATGAAGCTGAACCTACTGCAGCAGGCTTCAGAGAGGTTGTACTACATGCACAGCCATGACCCTTCCCTGGTGCATTCAGATATCAAGACCTCCAACTTCCTGGTGTCTGGCAACAAACCCATCGTAAAGATTGCAGACTTTGGGCAGACACGGGAATACACCAATACTTTAAAGTTCAGTGTGCGGAAAGCAGGTGGGACGCGTGAGTACAAGCCTCCAGAGGTGTACGAGGGTGAAGTCCCTTCACTGCCATCTGATGTTTACAGCTTTGGCATAGTGATGTATGAGGTAGTCACTGGCAGGATGCTGTATGAGGTCAAGGGGCTAGGTCGGCAGCGGAGTGATGCTTATATTATCAATGAAAAGCTCCAAGGCGAGCCACCCTGCGAGCTGGGTGTGAACGATTGCCCAAAAGAGATGGAGGAACTCATGCAAGAGTGCATCCAGCTGGATCCAAGGAAAAGGCCTGAAATGCAAGAAGTGTGTGACAGGCTGAAGCAAATGCCGATTGCCTGTGGAGAAAAGGCAAGTGCTGGTTGCGGTGCAGTGATCCGTGTGAGGCCATCTGCACTGAGAACCACATATATATGCTGCAGGTTAAAATTGGCTTCTTCTGTGCCGCCATAGCATACTAAGTTGGATTTTCCCAATGGCGTTGTTCGTTATTATCTTGTGCGATTAAAAGCAGTCAAGTCTGGAGGTGATTGTGTGAGAGTTGCCGTTTTTGTTGCACTCTTTTGAAATTTTCGATTCCTAGAAAATGTGGGTGGGTGGGTGGGTGGGTGGTGTGGGTGGGGGTGGGGGTGGGGGCTGTGTGTGCTATCTATCAGCACTTGCTGACCTTGATCTTTTATGCACTGTCCCAGAACTCTGTGGAGTACCTGCATACCATCGTTGATTCTGCACGTCAGCAGTTGCATTATGTGCAGTACAACGAGAGAATTCTGTCTTTCTTATTCCAGCAGATGGAGTGTGTGAAAGGTCTGAATGATCTGCCCCCTGGCATGTCAAGTGATGCCTGGAAAACCCTCAAAGGAGCATTGGAGTCTGGAGAGCGCCTCATCGAAAAGCACACATACACATTTGATCTGCATAAGTTTTATTCAGCTGATGAGCTGAAAGTGCTTGTGGAACGATTATGCACAAGCCTTCAAGATGCGTGGGGCTCTGTTGATGAGGATGGCAGTGTGCCCATTAGGGCAGGTGCTCCCGATGGGTATGTTGCCGAGGACAGAGAATTCTTGAACACCTGTCTACGTTTTGTTCTTTATGGCGAGCAGGCTTCAGAGGACAGTGCAGACATTGGAGATGAGTGGCATCAGGTCAGAAAAAAACACAACGAGCAGATGGAAAACCTGCGAGTCGTTCCAGACAATGAGATCGAGTTGGAAGGGGCAGAGGAAATCGGCACAGGCGGAGAGGGAACCATTTACAAGTGGTGTTGGCAGGGCAAGATGGTGGCCGCAAAGCAGTTGCATCAGAAGGTCAAACACCTGAGGGTCGAACGACTGGCCCAGGTTTTCACCACGGCTGCTCTCAGCGCTTCGATGCACCATGGCAACATTGCGAGCGTGCTGGCTGTGAGTGCATCGGGCGACACTCTGTTGATGGAGCTGGCAACGGAAAACTTGATGACCTGGTACCGTCGCAACAGGAAGGCGTCTTGGAGGTCGAAGGTTGGCGTGATGTACCAAGCAGCATCAGGCCTGGCGCACGTGCATGGTCGGCCAGAGACAATTGTCCACTGCGATGTCAAGACCACAAACTTTCTTGTGTTTGGCGATGACTCACAGGGGGACCCTGTTGTCAAACTCTGTGACTTTGGCACACTCACAACTGGCGCGACTGATGCGAAGACCACACTGAAACAGCAACCCAGGACACCACTGTACTGTGCTCCGGAGATCGACAACTGCCAGCCCCACACCCACAAGAGCGACGTCTTTAGTTTTGGGGTGGTGCTGTGTGAAGTTGCGGTACAGCGGGCGCCCTACAGGGGCGGGGAAGGTTTGGCTGCAAAGATGAAAGAGCTTGGCGAGATGCTGTGTCGGATTCCCGCAGATTACCCAAAGGGCCTGAGAACGGTCATCAACGAATGTCTCTCACGTGAGCCAGGGATGCGGCCATCCATGCGGCATGTAGAGGAGACCTTGCTAATGGTGTTGCAGGATTTGGACAGTGCATGCCGTTGCAATGGATCGGATGATTGAGTTAGGCTGGTGGTAGAGTCGTGTTGTATTGTCCAGTACATTGTGTAGTTGGGCCATGACCACTGCAATGCATCATGTGGATCAGTATTAGGACAGTGCACCACGGTCACCAAGCTTGTGGAATCTTTTCAACTGCCATGGCCAGCAAGCCAGATCACATACCCGGACAGCCCTGACTGCCACAAAAGTGTTTATTGCTCTGAACATTGATTGTTACAAAATTGGTGACAGTAACACTCAAGTAGGGGCGTTTTTGCCCGCGCTAGATACCAAGTAGACATTTTAAGGAGATCCGTTTCAGCAAACACCCATGCACACATCCTCTGCGAATAGGGATCGATCGGATCGCTGGCGATGCAATACCAAATGGCTCAGACCCTTTTGTTTCGGGCCCAGTGCTTAAGCATAAATAGCGATACCCGCGATACAAGGTCCCCGCAGGAATCCAAGAGATGCCATTGGCCCGTTCCCGCCAAAATTGTCCTGCTAATCCCAGCTACAATTTCTGGCACCACACCCCGCTCCTGCTCGTCCACCTCTCGGCCCTCCGCCAGAGGTCGCGCCGCAGGACCACGGGGCGCGGCTACCCGCTCCCCATTGGTCGGCCCACGCTCTGGACCGAATCGAGCTGACCCACGGGACCGATTGGGAGGAACTGACCCACAGGGGTAGACTGATGCGACTAGACAGAGGGGCGTATTGGCGAGAGCTGACCCGCGTGAGAGATTGGGAGGTGACCCGTGGAGGGGGCTGGAAAGCACAGGCCTGTCGTGGGGCCGGACGAGACGGCCGCCCTTCCCATTGCTGGGGGTCGACGTGGTGAGTTCTCTCAGGACGCTCTGCGCACGATGCCGGGCATTTGTCGCGGAACACGAGTCTCAGAAAGTATGTTGCGGAAAACGCGGACGGGCAGCTCGCTGCCATTGTTTTGGAGGTTGGTTTTCTCGCCTTGCGGCAATTCGCGTCCGGGGTTTCGAGACAGAGTTTCTTTTGCCCCGATGGCCGTGGATGGCGAAAATGATGCGACGGCGGAAACAGTGACGGCCGAAAACTGGACGGAGAAAAAGCTGCGAAGGCCGTTCGTGCCGTCCGATACCGTCACTGGAGGCATAGGCGTCGGTCTCCCTCATCAGAACCGCGCGACGCTCTCCGTGACTCGCCAAAAGCCACCAGACCTGTCCTGGCTCGTGGGCGCTCTCCGCACAGGGTGTTGGTGGGAACGCATGACGCACGGCCGGTAGATGCAACAAGTCATCCGATTGCCGGTGCGGCAAGGCGAAGCGACTGTGCGCCTCCTGGCGCGCGAAACTAGAAGTCGGCCGCTGTCCAACCCTCGGGACGATCAGCCCCCCAACCCCAACCCCGCCCCGGGTGGAAAACCCCTCTTTCCGCGGTTCCGAACTGTCCCCGGACAGTGTGTGTGCCGCATCCCGTTTCGCCTATGGGGAAGGAGGCTACCGCGGCGTCTCCCAAAGGTCGGGACCGCATTCGATGCCCATCAGCACGTTGTGACGGCTGGTCTGGCAATTACGGCTCTGCAGCAGCACAGGCCTGGTCTGCGTCCTTCTGGTGCGGCTAAGGTCCATGGGTTACTGCCACACTATCAACCGACGGATGGATGGAAGTGAAATGGCCGGGAAGTGCGGATCGGGGCAATTGACCGGTGGGGCGGCTGGATCTGAACTGAAGCACGGGATCAATCGGAGGGCTGTCTCGTGGGCCGAACGGAAGGGGCTCCGCAGCAGCGCGGCATCCCTGCCAGCGTGCCGCGCTCTCCTGGGAACCCTGCTTCACTCACCGGCAGCCCTGTTGGCTGCCATTTCCTGGCTGGTACGTCAAGTTATGGGCAGTAGACTTTGATGGTTGTCTATAGCCCACTCTCCATACATTGTGTGTGTTCTTTCCCGGAGGAGTTGATCAGCCGTCCGCACACAGGGAATGCCGCGCACCCTCGAACTGCGCGGCATGTGCAAGGTGGGTCTCGCAGCGTTCGACGCGGGCGGTGCTGTCCAGGGATGCGGCCCGTGGCTTTTCGCGGCCGACGGGTCGAGGTTGGCCTTCTTGCCCCGCTGGGCTTTTGCCTTCGCCGGCCTGTTCTTTGGGTATGCAGCCGCTTACCTGATGGCAGCCAAGACACGCCCTGATGGCAGGAAAAAAACAACGCCCTGAAGGCAGGAAAACAATAAGAGATAACGCTGCTTTTGTAGGCCGCCGGGTCAGACTTTTGAAGTGCAGCAAAGCAAGTCTTAGCAGGTCCGGCTGCCGATGTCAAGGAGCGCAGCGCCGGTTTGCCACTCCACGAGCCCACCTGCGCTTTGCGCACAACGTCGACTCCCCAAAATGTTGTAGCCTACGGAGAAAATATGACGAGTGTCTCAAAAGGACCAAACACCGACCCCGTGCGCACAGCGTTGGCGAAACAGTGCAGCAACTCCCACCGCGCCACCTCCAGGAGGTTGTCCACAAACCCCCATCTTCCGTGCGGTGGGCAGTCCGTTCCCCCTCCCTCCTTTTTCCGCCAACCGGAGGAAATTCCGGCGTCAGCAGACTGGCAGGCTGACATTTGTCCTGAACCCCAACTCCCAAGAAAGGTCAAACCCATGACGTTGACAGGTCGCTGACTGGTTCGCCACTGGGGAAGCGGTTCCGGTGGAGGCGGTCTGGGAACGAGCTGGCGGAGGCAGCGGAGTTACAGACAGGTCCCAAACAGGGATGTCCCCCGACGGCCAAGTCATCCATTCAGTCCATGTATCATGATTATGTCACATCAACGTCAGGACGGGTCCCATCCCTGTCCCAACTTTGCGTTCGGCAATTTCGGGAGAGCTTCGGTCGTCTCCGAAACCGCTTTCCCACCAGCGCCACCGCCGGCGGCCCGTTTGCCGGCGCAGCGGGGACGGACCCACGGCGCCAATCGCCGCCCCAGCAAGCGCCCCTTTCGGCACGCGTTCGCCCCGGTGAGCGCCGAACAGATGAAGTCTGACGTGCTGGCTCTTGTGACGGCATGTATTGGGGAGCTTCCTCGCGGCTCTCGCTCACATACACGAAATGTGAAATACGCGCAGCGTACGCGCGGGCGTGGCCCACCCTCAAAGCCACGGCCCCACGTTTCCCTTTCGTTGCGATCCCCCGTCCTCCAGTAGTTTATGCTATTGGCCAGTTCTTGTGCGCCATATTGCACAGCGCCCCGAAGTGACGGTGTTCCTGTTGTGGGATGTCGCCATCCTGAAACTCCAGTCCACCAGTTCGTGGAGCTTTCAGGAACTTTGTGCGCTCTGGGCCCACTGAAACCTGCTACTGGAAGGGCGAGGTCCTTAAGGAACCGCCGGATGGGGAAGAGTCGATGCAGCACATCACTTGCAGTGGGGGATCGATCCCCTGTAAACAATCCCTTTGAGACGAAATTGCAGGCTTCTGTCGTGCATGCATTTCAGGAATGTTGTGTGCTGATAGAAGCTGATGTTGTGCTTCCAGGACTCGACGATTCATCCTGGACTTGTCTCAAATTTGGCGAGCGGATTTCCACCGAAACAGAACTCAAAGCATTTGTCTTTCTAAAGAAAGAGGCGCTGTGTGACTGCAGAGTAAAAGGGTGCGATCTGTACTCTCCAAACCACGGCCAAGGTGGGTTGGATGGGTCCCAGCCGTTGGCTTGTTGGACCCCCTGTTAAGGGTGTTGCCAGAGGGGATCCCACAGCATGGTGACTGTTGGCTGTGCTGTGCTGCTTTCACGCCCTCTGTCATCTGGAGAGGACTTTCAGGATCCACATGCCAGGTTCTCATGGGCGAGCTGACAGGGTCCCAGTGTGTCATTGCCATTTGGGCAGAGCTGCAGATTCCATAGCCTTTCCATTCATATTCCACTGCCAGCTTTGGTCGTTCAGACTATTGGCTTTCCTGCTGCAAAGGTCCAGACTTTGGGCAGCATCAATCGTCTGGAGTTCAGCAGGCTTTGTTGTCATCAGTGGCGAAGCTGATGTTGTCAGCCTGTGCATTGTCTATCTTGCAGTTGCTGCCAATGTGTCATTGGTGCAAATGTTGGTTTATGGCACTGGTCAAAAGTGCCAACAGCTGCTCGTTTCCCCTTTATGGGTTGTTGAGTGGTCATGGCATTGGTGGATAGCCAATTGGCTAGAGACCTGAGAGACCAGCACAGAGCTTAGCAGTGTTCAAATGGTATTGGGGCAGGAATTTGCTTTGCTGAACCTGGAATTGTTGTTCTCACGTGGCCCGAACCCACATTGTGCTCATCGATCACACCTGTTTACCTGAGCAAGTGCCAGATATTGCAGCACTATGCTTTCCGCCCATGTTTGTGGCTGTTCAACCTCAGCTATGAAGCTCTGGCTCCACTGATTGTGCTCCAGGCTGACAGTAAAATGATTGTGTGCTTGTTTCTCTCACACAGACTACCACTACTGCAGTGCAGGCCTGCAGAATGCCGTGGAGGGGAAGTGTGCATTCGACGGCACTGCTGTTGGTGATGGTGCTGCTGGCATGTGAGACCAGGAGCTCTGGTAGTCTGTTGAAGACTTAGATGTGATTACTCATGCTGATTTAGTTGCCCGTCATTGCAGTCATAGCAGAATTATTTCCTGGCACTGTCCATGTTGATAACAGATGCTCATGGTGCAATTCACCAACAATGCTTTGATCCTGTTCACACCTGTGTGAGCATTGTTCTGGCGATCGTGTTCTGGATGCCCTTATCATGGTAACACTCCTCAAACGAGGTCATTATGCTCAGTGCTGCCTGGCAGGTTGTAATGCTTCTTGCCACAGTGCTTTGGCGACAATGGGTGGCATACGGTGGCTGCCTCAGGCCAGCTGTGTCTGGTGAAATGCCTGGCATAGGTGTTTGAAACCCTGCCAGTCACCAAATTTGCAAGACATGGAGGTCCTGGCAGTGAGGAGTTTCTATTTTTGTTATCTTTTGAGCAAGGCGCTACCAGAGCAGCAAACAAGAAATTTATGCTCATCTCATTCTGGCATTCCACAAT